TGACTCAATTTTTCCTATCATTTTCTACCCTCATCATTTCCATCTCTGTTTTCACAATATCCAATAATCGCTGCTTCTCACTAATCTTTTCCTCATAAAATGTTTGTGACTTGGTCTCTTCTCTCCTCTTTATCAAGTCAGCATTATATTTAGCATTGAGCTCCTGGAATGACCTCTGGAGCTCCTTCAGTTCTTCTTCCAATGCCTTATTTTTCTCTTTCTCTTCATGCAGTTCGTCCATAAATGCTTCAACTGTGTGAAAGCAGGAGACCCTCACTTGTTCATATTTCTGCTGCATTTCCTCCTTCTCCAAATCTTTAATTTCAAGCTGAGCCTGAGAAGATATCACATCAAATTTCAGGACTTCCACGTCTCTGAACTTCTGCAGGCTTTCCAGTTCGGCCTTCGCTCTGCAGGCCTGATCAAAATAGCCAACTTTTAACTCCTCCTGTTTTTTGAGTTGAAACTCCATTTCTTGGAGCTCTTCCTCCAGCTTCTCTCTCACTGCAATCCTTTTGGCCTTTTCTTTGTTCAAAAGGCCGGTCAGTCGATGGATCTCTTTTCCAAATCATCAGGGTTGGCAGTAGAGCTCCTGCCTTGGGGGTGTTGGTGGTTTCCCCTCCTTGGATTAAATCCCATCATGGTTGATCTTGCTCTTTGCTGAGACATTTTCTCAAACACTATCAATGAAATCGTCGATAAAATATCTTAAGGGGTTTGCGAGCGTCTGAACTGGTCAGTAGTATTGCGAGCAATGACAAATATGCAGAATTGTGTTACATACAATTCTGCAGTTGATGACATCACAGACGGCATCGCCAGTGACATCACAGAATCTCCCTTTGCTGGCGGTGTGACATCATTCCACCTCCAAATATCTTGTTTCAGTCAAAATTGTCCATGATTCTCTTGTCTTATGTCAGGGACATCAAACTCATTTCCATTTGGGCCCAGATCAAAAATCTGAATGTTGTGCCAGGTTGCATTGATAAAACCAATTCAATTGTTAAAATATCAATGAATAGGTGTTTCAGCATTAAATAAGTGTTTAAAATAAAATAATATTGAACATCTTTTCACACTAATCAGTCCGTTTGCGATTGTTCAGACTTTTGCAGCATCACTGTTTGGAGATAAAAATGAACTAAAATAATCAAATGTATCTTTTTAGACTCCCAGTGATCTTGGAGTTTCCCAACAAGACATTGTTGACTGTTTTAACCTTTCACCTCTTCGCCTGCTTTGGTCACATGAGCTGCAGACTAGCAGACAAACTTTAATAAAACTTTCAATGGCGGGTAAAGTAGCAGGTCAATGGTGGAGAAACCAAAAACAACTCTGTCTCCACTGTTTGCTGAAAGAACAAGGAAGATGGCGAGGAATATTTTAGTAGAGAGCATCCATCCTCACTTTTCATCAGTTTGAACCTCTGAGCTGATAAAAGTGTTATTGCTGCTCTGGCAACTAACAACATGCATTAGAAGTCATTTATTGATAGTACGATAATTATTCTTAACCAAATTAAATAACACTTACCTTAGTATGCTAAGTGTATTTCTCGATGCACAAATAGTTGATATTGTTCAGGGATTAAAGGTTTTTTATTGTCATATCAGCCACTGGCCACCAGGGGCTCCCAAAGCGCCCCAGCCTGGCTCCAGGCTGTACGGTGGCCCTGAGGTTCAAACTACTTCAGCAAATTGAAACCACAATTACAAAAGCTCTATAACATGAACAAAAACACAACAACATTAATGAAAGTGTTTTTATCGCCAAGAACGTTCATGTTTTTAAAAAAAACACGTTAAAGCCAGAATAACTTCCGATTGAAAGTAAAAACGAGCCGCAGAGCAATGAGCGATTTCTTAGGTCTCCCATTGGGACATACCTGATCCGTTTCATCAACGTTTTAGCGCTTTCTGTTAGGATTTTAGTTGTTGTGGGTGTTCTTGTAATAGACGATCTTCGTGGGAGCGCACCTGAAGCGCACCTGAAGCGGATCTCATACAATGGGCGGCAGGATTCTTAAGGAGCGGTTGCACAACCAGTCATCGCTCGATGGTCCCACTTGTTGGTCAGAGTCAAACCTCAAGTCTTGTTAAGTCTCAGGTCCACAGAAGATCTAGTAAGCTTTGTGTGTTCTCCCACAGATTGGAGACGTCTCGTTGGATCCTGCCAGGAATTGCATCTGCCCTACTGCCAAGCTGACTACGGATTGACCGGAAACATCTGCCTGCCGCCTCGGCCCCCAAAACCTCGCCGGACCTCCACACCAACACTTCCTACCACCTCCCTCAGCAACTCTCCTTCCCCGACGACCCGTAAGCCTTCTCGTTCCCTCCTCTGCCACGATCCCGCCGTCCTTCTCCTTTCTAAACCTCTCCCCTCTCCGAGCAGCACCCGAGCCGACCCTCTGTTTTCCAGCTCAGAGGACAACCCAGACTCACCACCCTTACAAAAATGTAAAATAAATCTTTTGAACTTTAATCCTCATGGCTTGTTGCTTGAAGCCTGCATGTAGGTAAAAAAAACTAAAATCCAACATAACACTTTCATTCATGTTTTAGTGCTTGTGTAACGTTCTCTGCTTATTTACTAGAATGACAAAAAAACAAAAGACAAATCTTCAAACGTCACTGCCTGTTTGTGGCCCCTCAGCTGAAAAACAAAAGACACAGTTAGCATCATGACTGAATGGTCAGCCAGGAACACCAACTGGCGCAGCTCCCACCTATAGGGTCATATTTTTTTAGCATAACCATTATAAAACTTTAGTATTGAACTAGAAAAATATGACCCCAAGTAAAAGAAGTAATGAAGAGCTGCCTCTCTCGCACCGACCCCCACCAGAACTCCACAGGATTCTGGTGGGGAAACCTGAAGGACCCGTCGCATGCAGTCTGTCATCACACCACTAGGTGGCTCTAAACCGTGGCATCACTCAAACATCCCACCAGAAACAGACACAACCTTCATTATTTTGGGCAAAATTCACAAAGATATATACACACACTTTGCTCTCTGTTACACTTTCGTTCATGTTTTAGCGCTTATGTAATTTGCAATCGTGCTTTCAATATGCTGAAGTGGTTTGAACCTCTGGGCCCCGTAAGGGTAGGACCTCCTGTACGGTCGAGTCCAACCTGTTTCCAATGGTCGTATTGATCATATGGGATCTTTGGGCTGCACTTGGTCTGGTTCCTCACCTTGGACCCGTCTGCATCGGGTGGCCCAACCAGAGGCATGAAGCCCCGACAGCATAACTCCTAGGATCACTGGGACACTCAAACCCCCCACCACCATAAGGTGGCAGCCATGGAGGGGACGTGTAAATGTGTGCATGTGTGTGTATTAAATAACCTGTTAATTATGTAGGAAAGAGAGAAAATGAGAGACAATGGAAGAAAGTTAACATGAGGAAACGAGCACAATGTGAAGGTAATTATATTTTGGTCCATTTGTTTAGTTTTTAAAAAGTTTTTCAGGCTTTAATAAAGTGTTTTAGGTTCTAGTAGCCGTTATTATTTACAGTGGTTGAACAGGAAATTGGGAGGACAAAGAAGGGAATGACATGCAGCAGATTCCCCAGGACTGGGAATTAAACCCAGGTTGACAAACAAAACCGATAAGTAACGTCCTAAACAAAACATAATTTGCAGTCTGACTATAAAGCTGGTTAAAAAACTGATTTAGGCATTTCTCAGCCCCTTTTTCTTCTCTTTTATACAAGCAGACAGCAATAAGCTCAACAACACAAAAGCTTCATATTTATTACAAAGTATTTATCTAAGAATTGATTTCTTCCTGTAATGGAAATGATTTCTGGTTAAGTTCTCTGTTTTCATACTTTCATGGATTGTTCTTGTTTTTTTCCTTTTCTACACAATTTTCATGTTGAATTGTACTTTTTTTGTTAAGTTTATTTTGAATTTGTTATTCTAAATAAATACTAAGAGAAAGATCACACAGTAACTTTTATCTTTGATAAAAACTGTTTTATCAGAGATAAAATAACTCTGGGCTTCTTCACGGTCCGGATTATTAAATTATGATTACAATTATCATCTAATTCCATGTACAGATTTAACTCTAATCTTAACTGGAACCTGAAAAAGTCTAAATGTGTTAAATCACGTTTTTTATGTTTGGTATGAAAACTAGTGATGGTGAGATGAAGCCTCATGAGGCATTGAACCACTTGATCCAACTGGTTCAGAAAGGGTTCATTTCTAGAAGCTTCATGTGCTCACGAAACCACCTACTGGCCAGGTGTATAATCACAGCCAGCTGTATCTTAAACAGGTGTGATGCATTGAATTTTTGTCTTTTATTTCTCTTGGGAATGACGTCACAAAAGGTGTAGGACAAAATCATTTGTCTACATAAATTATGTAAATACATATGTGAATAATAAGATATTGTTTGAATGTATTCTCTGTGTGTAATTTTTCCCAAAATAGTCGTGTCATGTGATATGGCATGTTGTGTAATAATGTTTTTCTGTGACTCTAGAAAAATGGCTTCATCAGGCAGAGGACAGTGAAAGTGCTTGTGGAACTAGGGAGGGGGTGGTGAAGAGGCTAATGCTTGTGTAACTTGGATGATTTCATTCATTTTTATTAAGAAACAATTTCTCCACAGTTTTTGGTTTCAAACAATTCCTCTTTTTTGACACTACTTCTCCAGCCTTTGAAAAGAGACGATCCCAAATCTCCGATCTCTCTCTCTTTCTCTCCTAAACTCTCCAAACTCCAAACTAACTGTCTCAGACTAAATAACCACAATCAAAACTCTGCTATCCAAACTATCAAACCTCTATCCACTCTCTAACTGAAACCAACTCACCTACAACAATCCACATTTTAAATGGAGCTTGTGGGGTTAATGAAGCTGTCAAACCACTTCCTGAAGCGGTCACATGGTACAGCCTGAAGCGGTCACATGGTACAGCCTGAAGCGGTCACATGGTACAGCCTGAAGCGGTCACATGGTACAGCCTGAAGCGGTCACATGGTACAGCCTGAAGCGGTCACATGGTACAGCCGGGCAGCGAGGCTTCGGACGTCATCGTTTTCGGCTCCTCCCCTAAATGAAGCAGGCTTCGATACGCGCTTTACGGAAACCTCCCCTCCTTTACTCGCCTCGCTCCGAAGCCTCGGCACGTCATGAAACATCACTAATGAAAAGAAAACCAGGATTTATTATCAAAGGTAAATGGACTGAACTTGCTAGTCATGCTGATACTCAAAGCGCTTCACACTGCAGTCACATTCACCCACACACACATTTACACCCACATGCAGGTCGCTGGGCAACTTGCCGCTAAATGCCCTGCCCAATGGCACCTCAGCATGTGGCTGAGGAAGCTGAAATCAAACCGACAACCTTCTGGTCCATTTACCCACAGAGACACAGTCGTCCTAAAGACGCCACTGCGTGATCCTTTTGCTAATCTTCTCTAAAATACAGGTTTAAACGCAGCATAACGAGCTACAATTCAGGGCAATTTAATGTGAAAAGGTCAACCAAAGGTCAAACCATGAAAGCACAAGTACAGTGAAAATAAACAGAAATCATTACTATGAAAAGAGGAAATTTTAATCAACACGTTGCTATAAATATTTAGCTGAGTGTTGCAGTAATGAGCCTCTATCACTAAACCAGTGGAGGGAAAATGCCAATTAATTTTACAAGTTTAACAATAAAACTGAACATTGTTGGAGTTTAGAAACTGTTTTGGGGACGATTTGCAGCGACCAACTGACCTGACCTGCATGTTTTAGGGGATGTGGGGGGAACCGGAGCGCCCGGGGAAAACCCACGCAAACACGGGGAGACCATGCAAACTCCACACAGATGGTCTCTGTGAAGACGCAGCGCTAACCGCTGCGCCACCGTGCTGCCCACCATTTTTCTGTTGGGTTGGGAGGATCTATTTTGTCAATCGGGGGAAAAACTGTCTTTTTAAAGACAAAGTTCTGTCTTTATAAGTTTAAAGTTTTAAAACTTAAGTTTTAAAGAGGTTTTAATATTTTTTTATACTCTGAATGTTTATACATGTTCATGCCACATGTCAGTTTTTAGCTAATCAAGACGTTTTAATGGGTTTTTTCCAATAAGACAAAATGGTGAGTTTTAAAACACTATTAATGCAACTTTCAGTGTTAAAAAACTGGGCCGTGCAATGTTTTAAGTTTTAAGTTAACTTAAAACTTAAGTTTTAAAACATTAAAGTTTTCAAACTTTATAACTTAAAAGTTTTAAAACTTTAAACTTTTAAAACTTTCCCTGAACACAGAGGTGACAACCTGGATGTGGTCCTCAGTTCTTCTCTTTAATGTCTTGATAAATATCAAAATCAATCATCTTTATCGTTTTCTGTCTTTGGTTTTCGTTTTGACTTAATTCCAAGAAATTTTTTCATTCTTTTCCAAATGGTGGTTTTCGGTTTCTTTTTGATGTCTAAATCCTGAAGGCCACTTTCTTGTTGGGTCATAATATCCTCAATGTCTTCAGCGTCCTTAGAACAACCTGGTTCTGGTTCTGGTTCTGGTTCTGGTTGTTCCTCCTCTGAATCCATGTCATTTGAATCATTAATCGCGTCAACATGGCCGACTGATATTTCCTCTTCTTCTTGAGGACTCGCCGTGGTGGTTGACGGTAAATCATTCATAGATTCAACAATATTTTCGACAGAATTAATTTTAATTTGGTTTCGTTCTGCAGCTTTTTTAAGTGAACTGATGTCTCTTTCATATCTCATGGACAAATCTTGATATAAAGTGTCAACTTTGTTCAGTTCTTCTGTGGCGTTTTTCAGTTTGTTCTGCAGGCATTTAATCTCATTTTGTGATAATTTCTGCAGGAAGGTTTTTTCCAATTCTAAGTCATTTATTACCTTCTTCTCCTCCTCTGCCTTCTCCAGATAAAATCTTTTTTCTTCAATCATTTGCTTCTTCAGGATCTCTCCACTGTCTTTCTGGGCTTTCAGTTCTTCAGTCAGCTCCTTATTTTTTCCAAGGTTTTCTAAATGATCTTCTTTCTCTTGCCTTAGCTCCAGTTGGCATCGCTCCAGGTCTAGTTTCAGGATTGCGATTTCTTTCTCATGGACCAAAGTCAGATCATGATACGATTTTTTAGATTCCTCCAATTCTCTCTGTAAAAGTTGTTCTGATTCTTGCATTGACTCAATTTTTCCTATCATTTCTACCTTCATCATTTCCATCTCTGTTTTCACAATATCCAATAATCGCTGCTTCTCACTAATCTTTTCCTCGTAAAATGTTTGTGACTTGGTCTCTTCTCTCCTCTTTATCAAGTCAGCATTATATTTAGCATTGAGCTCCTGGAATGACCTCTGGAGCTCCTTCAGTTCTTCTTCCAATGCCTTATTTTTCTCTTTCTCTTCATGCAGTTCGTCCATAAATGCTTCAACTGTGTGAAAGCAGGAGACCCTCACTTGTTCATATTTCTGCTGAATCCTCCTTCTCCAAATCTTTAATTTCAAGCTGAGCCTGAGAAGCTATCACATCAAATTTCAGGACTTCCACGTCTCTGAACTTCTGCAGGCTTTCCAGTTCGGCCTTCGCTCTGCAGGCCTGATCAAAATAGCCAACTTTTAACTCCTCCTGTTTTTTGAGTTGAAACTCCATTTCTTGGAGCTCTTCCTCCAGCTTCTCTCTCACTGCAATCCTTTTGGCCTTTTCTTTGTTCAAAAGGCCGGTCAGTCGATGGATCTCTTTTTCCAAATCATCAGGGTTGGCAGTAGAGCTCCTGCCTTGGGGGTGTTGGTGGTTTCCCCTCCTTGGATTAAATCCCATCATGGTTGATCTTGCTCTTTGCTGAGACATTTTCTCAAACACTATCAATGAAATCGTCGATAAAATATCTTAAGGGGTTTGCGAGCGTCTGAACTGGTCAGTAGTATTGCGAGCAATGACAAATATGCAGAATTGTGTTACATACAATTCTGCAGTTGATGACATCACAGACGGCATCGCCAGTGACATCACAGAATCTCCCTTTGCTGGCGGTGTGACATCATTCCACCTCCAAATATCTTGTTTCAGTCAAATAGTCCATGATTCTCTTGTCTTATGTCAGGGACATCAAACTCATTTCCATTTGGGCCCAGATCAAAAATCTGAATGTTGTGCCAGGTTGCATTGATAAAACCAATTAAATTGTTAAAATATCAATGAATAGGTGTTTCAGCATTCAATAAGTGTTTAAAATAAAATAATATTGAACATCTTTTCACACTAATCAGTCCGTTTGCGATTGTTCAAACTTTTGCAGCACCACTCTTTGGAGATAAAAATGAACTATAATAATAAAATGTATCTTTTAAGACTCCCAGTGATCTTGGAGTTTCCCTACAAGACATTGTTGACTGTTTTAACCTTTCACCTCCTCGCCTGCTTTGGTCACATGAGCTGCAGACTAGCAGACAAACTTTAATAAAACTTTCAATGGCGGGTAAAGTAGCAGGTCAATGGTGGAGAAACCAAAAACAACTCTGTCTCCACTGTTTGCTGAAAGAACATGGAAGATGGCGAGGAATATTTTAGTAGAGAGCATCCATCCTCACTTTTCATCAGTTTGAACCTCTGAGCTGATAAAGGTGTTATTGTTGCTCTGGCAACTAACAACATGCATTAGAAGTCATTTATTGATAGTACGATAATTATTCTTAACCAAATTAAATAACACTTACCTTAGTATGCTAAGTGTATTTCTCGATGCACAAATAGTTGATATTGTTCAGGGATTAAAGGTTTATTATTGTCATATCACCCACTGGCCACCAGGGGCTCCCAAAGCGCCCCAGCCTGGCTCCAGGCTGTACGGTGGCCCTGAGGTTCAAACCACTTCAGCAAATTGAAACCACAATTACAAAAGCTCTATAACATGAACAAAAACACAACAACATTAATGAAAGTGTTTTTATATTGCCAAGAACGTTCATGTTTTTAAAAAAAACACGTTAAAGCCAGAATAACTTCCGATTGAAAGTAAAAAGGAGCCGCAGAGCAATGAGCGATTTCTTAGGTCTCCCATTGGGACATACCTGATCCGTTTCATCAACGTTTTAGCGCTTTCTGTTAGGATTTTAGTTGTTGTGGGTGTTCTTGTAATAGACGATCTTCGTGGGAGCGCACCTGAAGCGGATCTCCTACAATGGGCGGCAGGATTCTTAAGGAGCGGTGGCGCAACCAGTCATCGCTCGATGGTCCCACTTGTTGGTCAGAGTCAAACCTCAAGTCTTGTTAAGTCTCAGGTCCACAGAAGATCTAGTAAGCTTTGTGTGTTCTCCCACAGATTGGAGACGTCTCGTTGGATCCTGCCAGGAATTGCATCTGCCCTACTGCCAAGCTGACTACGGATCGACCGGAAACATCTGCCTGCCGCCTCGGCCCCCAAAACCTCGCCGGACCTCCACACCAACACTTCCTACCACCTCCCTCAGCAACTCTCCTTCCCCGACGACCCGTAAGCCTTCTCGTTCCCTCCTCTGCCACGATCCCGCCGTCCTTCTCCTTTCTAAACCTCTCCCCTCTCCGAGCAGCACCCGAGCCGACCCTCTGTTTTCCAGCTCAGAGGACAACCCGGACTCACCACCCTTACAAAACTGTAAAATAAATCTTTTGAACTTTAATCCTCATGGCTTGTTGTTTGAAGCCTGCATGTGGGTAAAAAAACTAAAATCCAACATGACAAGGTTCTGTGTCCAGATCCGAACACGGAGAAGCAGCTTTCACCTTCGATGCACCACAAATCTGGAAGAAACTTCCAGAAAACTGGAAGGTTTTGGATGATGTTGGGAGAAGGATTTTCTCCAAGGAAACAATTGATGGATGGATAATTAAAGCAACTGAGAGCTACTATGGTTCTATTTGCACTAAATCTGTGTAAAGCAGGTATTTCTGTGGTGCTTAAAGGGGAGAAATGACCTAAATGTTTCTGTCTGTGCCTCTAAAAGCCTTCCTCTGCCCATCGTCATCGATCGCCCTCTGGTTCTCTGCCTCGGTTTGCTCTTGAGTCATTTTCCTGTCAAGATCCAGTCAGTGGGAGTCGGATTCTTATCTGCCTCTTTAGCGTAATTATAGCTGCCTGGATATAAGATGCTTAAACGCACATCTATCTAAAGCTCTGCAGATCTATTCCCATTAAAGTGACCATTAACATCAATGTCTGACAGATGGGCTGGTGGTGACATTCTGGACGTCAGAGCAGTAAAGATTTGGATCTGGTTCCTCTGAGCTGCAGCAGAGAAAGCAGATGCATGGAAGAGAAGCAGAGGACTGAAGGTCTGATGTTTGTTTAGGATCAGCAGAGGATTTTATTTTCTGCTTGTTTGTTCTGAAGAAAACCAGCAGAATTTTGATGATTCTTTACTTTCATCGTTTCCCTCTGCAGGGAAACCAGTGGACTTACACATTCAGATGAGGTGAAAATAAAACAGAATAAAGATATGAGCAGTGAAAAAAGAACATAGAATTGGTTTCTGTGCCTTCAGGTTTGTCAGACGGGTTGGATCTGCAGCCTGAAGTCAGACTCCTTCATGAGAATGTGATTAAAAGAGCAATGTTGTCAACAGGAGGACAGAACAAGCCACGTCAAAATCTCTGCTGGCCGTTTGTGCATTAATGAGATTCACCCAGAGCAGCGATGGCTGCAGGGGAACGGGAAACTCCTGTCTGTCTTCACTCTGTTTCATCAAACAAAAACCTGAAATACTAAAACACACTTTCACATTGAGTCACCTTCAACAGCTCAATGTCTGGATTGGTTTCAACTCAACAATTTAAGGAAAGGGTGTCATGATTTGTGGGTTTTGGATGGATGGTTCTGGATGGACCCAGGAGTTTAATGATGGGAGCAGGAAGCACAGGTGGGATTAAAGACACAAACATGAGACACAGCTGGGAGCAATGAAGGCCAGAGGAGACAATTCAGGATTTAAACTAACACACAGAAAAACCAAATCCTCACACGGATGATTCTGCTATGAATGAAAAAAGTATTCAAAGATATTATGGATAGTTTTTAAGCAATCCACTGGATCAGGCTCTTAGCAGGACTAGCGGTAGCTCTTTAACAATCACAGGCAGAAAAACTCAGAAAGCAATCTGGGAGCAGGCAGATACGACGGCCAGGATGCAGGAAACGGGTCGGGTATGCAACCGGGACATCAGACACAGAACGCTCTGATGGAGATTTACCACATTTATGACCCAGCAATCAGGGGTCAGAGGTCAGCAGAGCAGTGGAGCAGCAGGGGATTGGGCAGGAACAAGCAAGATCATGATATTCAAATTAAAAAACTGGAACAGTTATAACTCCCCCCGTAACTTTATAACCCCTGAAAAAACACATTGATTAGGCAAAGCTCCACATATGACTCACCACAGCAATATTCTCTAAAAGTGTTCAGAGATCAAAACTGCATCATTCGTTGCATTTTCAGCTGGTGTGGTTCTCTTTCACACTGCATGGTGTGAAATGAACAAAACCCTTTGAGCAACCTGTTCCCCTCCTCGCCTGTGGGGGCGCTGTACGAAGAACATGCACAGGAAATGACATGAAAACCTCTGAAAACACAGAGAACAACTTCCTTTTCCACTAAAGTTAACAAAATGGAGCAGCATCAGATTTAAATTGGAGGATTTTCTCTTCTGTCAGTAATCTCGTGGGCTTGTTTTGCATGTATTTACCCAGAATGCCTTGCGTTATAGTCCACTTCCAGCTTTTGGAGCAGTCTCTGGTCTAATTGGCGTTCATCGAGGCTGAAGTTTTTCAAACCTTCAAAAACAAACTGGACTTTCAAGGTAAATGGACCAGAGTCTGATCAAAGTGGACGAAAGAGGGCTGGTGTGAATGCATCCAACATCTCTGGCAGTTTTCAGGTGAGAATATTTCACATTGCAGGATGTGCAGCAGCTTTCTGGGTCACAACATCCCTGAACAAGCAATTAACAGACCGCTCACTGAGACCTGACCTCAGCAGCCACAGCCAGGTCTGTTGGTACAGAGATACATCTATGGATGTGTGAAAAATCTGCTCTCCACAGCCAGACTGTGTGTGAAAGTGTGTGTCGTGTCATGCAGGTGTTATCAGCAGTGACATTACGCCGCGTCCCGCTGCAAGGGGATCGGATGCAGCACGCAGCTGACTGACACAGTTAGACTTCCACATGTGCAAAAGCAGCTGCAGTGTGACGGAAATAAATTAAACACTCGTTTATCAAGATTAACAATCCTGCAGCGGTCAACTCTGCACTGAGGCAGTAACATGGATGCAGCTGCAGGTCTGATGAAGCAGCTGGACGGTTTCTATGTCACACTCTTGTTTTACTGTTTTTTCTCTGAATTTCTCCAATAAGAATGAAGACTGCATGTCTCTCAACTGGACTCATATGTGCATCTACAGAACCGTTCAATAAATTGGAATATCATTAAAAAATCCATTTATTTCAGGAACTTTATCACAAAGTTACACAAATGAATTACACACAGATAGATACTTAAAGCCTTTCTGTTCTAATCATGATTTTCTGCTTAAAACCTCATGACATTTAAAATGATAATATTACCTAAATGTGGGTTTAATGAAAAGTGTATTTAAAGTTTATTTTTAAAGGTGCTTTTATGTGAAACGACCCTCATCTCGGCATATATTCTCATTTATTGTAGATGAATGTACATAAAACTCCAAATAGGAGCTTATATATTCTATTTTGAACATAATTAAAACATTTGAAAGTTTTAATAAATTCAATACTCTTCAATGAAACAAAAAACTACATGCAGTGTTTTTTGGCTGATTTCTCTGTCTCTCATTAAAGTTGAAAGCTGTGTAGGATCTAATCTTTGCAAAGTTTCCATAAACATCTCAGTCTTTATTAGTTTAAGATCTGACCTTTTGTTGTCCGTCTTTAATGACCTTTCCAGCAGCGTCTTCGAGTCCTGACGCCTCTCCAGATCAACACTCTGGTTTCTTTCCTTTCCATGGCGTCGGCCACCGTCTGCGTTACAAATCCTGAGATAAAACAGGAAGGACTCTCTTCTGCATGAGCCTCATGCTGTTTGCAGCAGTGAAGGAGTTCAGTCATCCACAGATAGTGAGCTGTTCATCGCAGCAGCGGACCGTCACACCGCCAGTGGAAAACAAACTGAGAAATAAAATCCTGACGAAACTACTAAACTAAAAGAAAAATTTTAAGGAAAAGCCGGGATTATGACCTGATGCCTCTGCAGCAGAGAAACATTAGTTAGTACTAAAGCCTTTTCTCTGCCAAGGTGGCACAGGTTTACTTCTCTAAACCTCAGAAGTAATTTGCTTGAAGGGCGTTTGATCCACTGATATAAAGAGCTTTAAAGGCGTCGATCACATTTTGTGCAGATTTTTACTGCTTCCTCCTACAGGAACTCAGAAGGACAGATTCCTGGAATGAACGGTTTACTGGTATCGCTGTTGCCCTGCTCTCTCTTCCCCTCACTGCCCAATGATTTTTTAACCATCAGGTTAAAAAATCTGCCTAAGTCACCCTCAGCTGACCTGGACAGATTGTCCCTGACCTTTCACCCAACGAGTGTTGCAGAAAGTTCAGTTCTTTTGTGTTAGATAATGGATAAACATTCATTTACAGTCAGTCAGTACAATAATGTGACAAAACATTTAAATGTTTCAGATTCTCAGACAAACAGCACAGCATATCATTTTCTGATCATGACTTTAGTTATGTGGTTATTGAATTAGTGTTCAGTGACTACTAGGGCAGACACAGGCTATGAACGAACCAACCAGAGGGGGCGCTAAAGAGTTTCAGGCAGTAGAAGAAGGTTTTTTGACAAACACACAAAACGCACAACCCAGTTTAGAGGAGGAAATGAGACTTTCAGCTGCTTCCATTCACTACTGCTACACAATGGATCGCTGAGAGAAATTTGTCATTAGTCAGAAGTTTAGCAAATATTATCAAAACATGCTGTTTAATTTACAAGATGTAACTTTCAAATGAAGTGGAGGAGAACATTTCTGGACACATGATAGAAATATTTAGTAAGAGTAATTTTGTCATGAATTGTGGAGTCGTAAGCAACAAACAAGACAAATAAATTGATCAAACGATGACGGATCCGCCTGAATGAAACGTCTTTTATAGCTGTTAAATTAGCAGAGAGAAGAGAAACTTTTAATGTTGTGAACTTTTAAATTTCTAAATGAGGGCAAAAAGAGATTAATAAAGCTCTTCCATACTTACTGCTTTAATGCCTTGGCCTTTATTTTCATGCCTTCCTTAATGCCAGAGCCGCACTGTGCCTTTAAAATGATCACATGTTGTGATCACAGTTTGCAGAATGTGCAGCTGTTCACTAATGTGCTCAACTGGTAGCAGACACTGAACGTGTGCAGAATTATCAACTTTATTTCATTTTCTGTTCATAAATCAAGTTAACTTGATGTTAGTCTGAACTCACTGCTTAACCTTTTCATAAAGTTTCAGTAGTTTTGTTTTGCCAGACTAACTGAAGTCAGAGGCGCTTTGGAGCCGTTTTTATTTGGTTGCGTTTCATTTGTGGCCTCGCTCGCCGCTGATCCTCGGCTCCTCTGGGACTTCGTTGAAGGACAGAATGTGTCTTCCCCCGGCAGGCGAAATGAGTTCATATAACAGGGCAGGAGGCTTTAAACAATGCTGCTCTCCCCGGTGCCTCTGCTGAAGAGGCTGCTCTGTGCAGCTGCTGCATCTCAATTCAGATTTCACACCTTTTCATTGCTCCTCCAATGCTCAGACCCACAGTTAGTGCCTCCAAAAGCCTGTGGAGAAAAGGGATTTAGCTTTGCTTCAAGTAGAATAATCTTCTGTTTGGCTAATTATGTGAAACAAAGAGGTTAATAAGGATAAAAAGAGGTAAACAAAGCATCTTTTATATTAAAAATACTGGCACAGGGCAGTTTGCATTAATTTATGATAATTAATTAGTCTCAAAAGGTCCAACAATGTGAAACATTTTACATTTACTGGGGAGCAGATGAAGTCCCAGATGGACGGATATTGTCAGGAGTCGATGCAATAAAAAAACAATTTCATGAAAATAAATGATGTCGACTATGAGGCTGACTGGAAACCAGTTAAACCAGTTAAAGCAACAATTCTATCAGCGCAAATCATGTTGCACCTTTGAGACTAATTAAATAGAAAATATTCATGCAAACCAACCAGAAAGGAATGGTTATTAGACTTACATATATATATTTTCTTCACATTCAGATGAACATGGACTGAATCCAAAGAACTTCATAGATCCTGCATTTTTCAGCTGAACTGGTTTACAAATTATTCCTCTAGTCACTGAAAGCACCGACGCTAAAAGCTTAAAGTTTGAGTAATGATAAGAAAATCTAACTTACAGTTTATCT